CACACAGCCATGGCGGACCTCGCACAGAGCGGCGAATTGAGTGCGTGCTGACACATACACCTGCCCACGTCCCAGCTAACGCGGCGCAGACCAGCCCGTCCTCAACCTGACGCCCGAGGAGAAGCGCGTCTTCCAGTTCCTCTTCCAGCAAGCCGACACGGAGAAGCTGGGCGTCATAACAGGCGAGATTGCCGTCAAGTTCTTCGAGCGCACCAAGCTGGCACCCGCTGTCCTGGGCGAGATATGGCAGATTGCAGACACGGAGAACCGCGGTCTCCTGACCATGGCCGGCTTCTGCCAGGTCCTGCGCCTCATCGGACACTACCAGGCCGGCAGAGACCCCGCCCCCGAGCTGGCCTTTAGACGTATGGCCTCAATTGCTTGTAGTATAGCCATGCGCTGACACTCCCGCAGCTGCGCCCCTGCCCAAGTTCGAGGGCTTGAACATCCCATCCGCTCCTCCCGCCGCCCCGAGCTTCTCTCCACAACCCACCGGTTCGATACAACCTCAGATGAGCGGCAACGGCCCCATCCGCGTGCCTCCGCTAGTACCCGCCAAGGCTGCCGAATACGCAGGCCTCTTCGAGAAGTCTGGGGCCGTCAATGGCGTGCTCTCTGGTATGTGTCTTGATACTCGACTTGTGCGACTCTAACATTTCCAGGCGAGAATGCAAAGGAGATCTTTGAGAAAGCGCGGTTACCCAACGAAGTCCTCGGTCGCATCTGGAACCTCTCCGACACGGAGCAGCGCGGCGCTCTGAACGTCACCGAATTCATCATTGCCATGCACATGCTCGCCTCCTACCGAACTGGCAACATGAAGGCCCTCCCGACCGCCCTACCCCCAGGCCTGTACGAAGCCGCCTCGCGACGGGGACAACTCCCACCTCCACCAGGCCGACCTGACCAATCCATGTCCATCCCGCGCCAGTTCAGCGGGCAGCAAAATCAGCCAAGGCAATCGAGTCCACTTGGACGAACACCGTTTGGAGCACCGGCTCCTGCACCCCAACCGACCGGCAGCGATTGGCTGATCAGCCCACAAGAGAAGGCTTCATACGACAACCTCTTCAAGACCGTTGATACCATGGGCCGCGGATTCATTACTGGCGACCAGGCAGTGCGCTTCTTCAGCGATTCCGGCCTGCCCGAAGATGTCCTCGCAGGAATATGGGACCTCGCAGACATCAATTCGGAAGGTCAGCTATCCAAGGACGAGTTCGCAGTCGCAATGTACCTCATCCGTCAACAACGGAAGGGAGACCAGCTTCCAGCAACGCTTCCACCCAGCCTGATCCCCCCGAGCCTACGCACAGCCGCCAACCAAGCAGTACCGGTAGCTGCTCCTCAGCCAGCGCCACCCGTTCCTCGCGCCGCCAAATCAGCTGCAGATGATCTCTTCGGACTCGACGCCTTCACAGCACCGGCTCCTGCACCTCAGCAACCGCAATCGACAGGCGGCTCGGCTACCTTCAGCAAGCCATTCGAGGCTGATCCTTTCGGAAGCAAGCCAACTTCGCCCACGTCTCCTCACCCATTCCAGCCTCAGCCGCGAAACCCCGCTTCTACCTTCAAGCCGTTCATGCCTAGCTCTTCATTCGGTCAGACTCTTACTGCGCATTCTACAGGCCAATCGGGTACCTCTGGCGTGCCACAACACTCCACACCATCCGCAATGGACGATTTGCTGGGTGGAGAGGATGTTGCTGAGATTAACAAGAAGCTTACACAAGACTCGACTGACCTGGCCAACATGTCTAACCAGATGACCACTCTCCGAAACCAGATGCAGGAAGTTCAGAACAAGAAGACTGCGACCGAGGGCGATCTCAACAGTGTCAACACTCAGAAGCGCGATCTCGAGCTGCGCCTCTCGCAGTTCAAGACCCAGTACGACCAGGAAGTTAAGGCTGTCAAGGCGCTAGAGGACCGACTGGCTGCCTCTCGCAACGAGACCCGCAAGCTGCAACAGGACCTTGCTATGATCGAGGGCTCTTACCAGGATCTTCAGACTCAACACCGCCAGGTCGGAGGCCAACTTGAGGCTGACCAACGCGAAAACAACAGCTTGAAAGAACGCATCCGCCAGCTCAACACCGAGATTGGACAGCTGCGTCCTCAGCTTGACAAGATGAGGAACGATGCCCGACAGCAGAAGGGCATGGTCGCTATCAACAAGAAGCAGCTTGCTACCAACGAAGGAGAACGCGACAAGATCAGGAACGAAATGAACGACTTGACCAAGTCGCAGGAAGAGGGCACACGCAGTCCGCAGGCCCAGACCCCCGCCGTCGCCGTCAGCCCCGCAGCGTCCACTACAAGCCAGAGCACGAACCCATTCTTCCGCAAGTCGCCCCAACCCGTTGCGGAGAACACCATGTCGCCATCTGGATTCGCACGTGAAGGCCCGCACAAGGACTTTGACAGCGTTTTTGGTAGCTTCGGCACTCCTCAAAGCACAGCACCTCCCGTCTCTTTCCGTCCCGAAAACCAGAGCCAAGGTCCCAGCTTCTCTGTTCCATCCGGCCAATCAGTACGCTCTTCCGAAGGACCTGACGTCCCCACACCGTCTACCTCACCCCCTCTGTCTTCTTACCAGGAATCTCCCCGCGCTGCAGACCCGCCAGCCCCCCCTGAGTCGCGTCAATTTGGCTCTTCATTCCTACCTCTGAGGGAAGGCGGCCAGAGATCCGACTCGTTCAGCTCTTCCGTGCGAGCTACTGCTCCTGCCAGCAGATACGGTGGCCCTGGCAACGAGACACCTACAATTTCCCAGGCATCTCCTGCGAGCACACCAATAGCAGAGAAGCCCACGGTAGAGCGAACTGAAACCAACCGCACAGAAACCGACAACTTCAACCCTTCTCTGTTCAACCGTAACTTCTCATCAGCATCTCCTGTAGCCAGTATCACCAGTGATACTCAGCGCTCAACCAGAGCTGAGGACCGTAAGGATGCCTTCTCCAACTTCGGAGCACCTTCAGCTGGTGTTGACATTCCTGGTGCCTTCCCACGTGAGGCTGCTACCCCTCTTCAGCAGAACCAAACTGGAGAGAGCAGTCTGAGCGCCCCCAACAGGAACATCAACCGCGCCGACCCCTTCGGCAGCACTTCTGGTGAACAACCTCGTGGAGGCAAGGATGATTTCGATGCGGCATTCGCTGGCTTCGGCCCTAGTCGTCAGAACACTGCTACTGCATCCACCACAAGCGCACCCGCGGATAACTCCAACAGGTTCAACAAGGAGTTCCCTCCGATCGAGGACCTCGCTCACGATGATGACAGCGACAGTAACGATGAGCGCGGATTCGATGACAACTTCACATCCGCGTCGCCAAACCAGAAGCGTACTAGCACAGGACAAGAGCAGCGCTCTCAGCAACAGCAGCGACCAGGTACTGCGTCAAGTGACGAGTTGTACAGAGCTCCGCCGCCAACTACCCGCCTGGACTCCAACATCGGTGGCTTGCCCTCTCCTAGTGCGCAGAAGTCCCCACCCACCTACGAGTCCAGTGTGAACCAGACCAGAAGTGGATCGAACCAATTCCCACCTGAGTTCGGTGGTCTTCTTCCCGCTCGCGAAGACCCAACATCGCCAGGATCTCCTGACACCGCGCAAGGTCCCGAGAAGTCGTACAATCCTCCTGGCGGTCACGGAGCTGCTCTCTTTGGCGGCCCTTCCAAGTCTGCGACCACATCGCCCCCTCCTCTAGATACTCCATCATCGACCGTTCCATCCGACCAATACCACTCTGCAGTATCGTACGGTGCCAATGAGAACAACAAGGGCCCATCGCCTTCCAACAACGTCCCCCAACTCGGCAAGTCTGCCTTCAACGATGACTTCGACGCCGGATTTGATGATCTAGCGGATGCCAAGGAGGATGACCGCGCTGATGACGACTTCATGTTCTCTTCGCAGAACCGTGAAGGTCTTGACGAGTTCAACCCAGTGTTTGACTCGCCAGCTGCCTCCAAGTCAAACACTATGGCTTCTCAGCAGACTCCCACCGGCAAGCCGCGTGGTGATGACAGCTTCAGTGACTTTGAACACCTGTCGCAGACCTTTGGAGGACAGCCCCAGCAGCCTCAACCCGCTGCCTCGTCCCAGGACTGGGATGCCATCTTCTCCAACCTCGAGTCGTCGCAAACCGACAAGGGCTCGCACTCGCAGCAAGCATCCACTGACTTTGGCAAATCTGTCTTTGACACTCTCGACAATGAGGAGGCTGCTGCATCTTCATCCAAGTCTCAGGGATTGTCGCCTCAGATGCCCTCGCTCGGTCGTGCAATCAGCACTGGAACCGAGCATGACGACCCTATCCTCAAGAAGCTGACCGGTATGGGCTATGGACGTAACGACGCCTTGTCTGCGCTCGAGAAGTACGACTACGACATCAACAAGGTAAGCAATGCAACCACACTCAATATAAAAGAAGGCTCAAACTAACAACTCTTGATAGGCCGCCGACCACCTGGCTTCCGGAGGAAACTAAACACTCCAATCATTCCCACTCCATACCGCCACCCACACTCGCGTACCCCGGATCGCTCTTTTGTATGAGTACATATGTTTAGCATGGCTTTGTCACAACAAACTTTTCATACCCTTGAGCGTTGGACTTCTCTCCCTCTCCGTTTTATCCCCTGTCGCTGCGACGCACGCCCTTTCCTTTGTTCACGCTTACTCTTCTTGTACTAAAGCTTTCACTTGAGACGGAGGCTTTTGGGCCAGTCTTGGTGCTGGCTGTGTAGTAGGGAGGATTGGGTCTGAGCGACTGCTGCGTTTTGTGCACATGGTTAGTTACTTAATCTAATTCGTTCTTTGGTTGATTGATGGGATGTTGTGCGCTTGTTGTGCTGTGAATGTGCGTTTTGATGTTGATTAGAGGTATAGGTTGGATGTAGTTATATACTCCAATCGGCACTATACAGATCGATCTCTCCCTCGCATTGAAGAGCACCTTGGCGTATGGCATGACCATGCGTTGCGTACATTACTAGGGGGCTCGTCGTCGATTGCAGAATTTGTTCTCCCATCCATACGGCCCTTCAAAGTCTCTGTTGTGTTTACGGTCCATGCTGTACACAAATCTCGTCAGAGCATCCTGGTCGTTCCACCGCCTTCTGAAGGCTTCGCGCACTTTGAGCGTGGTTTCGTCGTCGAGTGTGAGGTGTCGCTGGAACTCGGATCCAAGAAAGTATGGCATGCCGGGGTATTCATCGTCGTCGTCGTCTGCGTTATTTGCGTTGTCTGCATTGTTGTTCGCATTGTCTGCGTTGGCTGCTTCTTGCTCGTCCTCCTCAGCACGTGGACGGAAGATGAAATGCCCTTTTGGATCCGCGTCACCGTCTTGTTTCTCCTGTCTTCTGTTAGCCTACTCATGTATACACATAAAATTGTAATGACCATTCCACATACCTTTCGCCACTCCTCCTCCGTCATACCGAATAATTGACCCTTTGGCCACCACTTACCCCGGCCTCTCGTGGGATTAATGAGGTATCTCACGGAAACATCACTGACCTGCCTCCAACTCGGGTCCTCCATATGGTCAAGATTTGCATGGAAGACTCGAACCGCTTTGCCTCTATGTATGAGATCATATACGGGCTGCCTGAGCAGCTCGAGGATGTTGAGCATGACTCGCCTGTCCTCCATTGAATAAGGATAGGGCTTGTTTCCCCACGCGTGGAAGGATGTCTCGAGGCGGATGCAGATCTCGTGATTCCGCTTTGTAGGCAACAGCTTGAGCAGTTGAAGGTTATTGTACATAGCCATTAGTTCGTCCTTGCTCTCTAGGTTCGTCTCGTAGAAGTTGAATGCAAGCGTGAACTTGCGGATTAGCTCGTATGGCTTTGTACCCATCTCGAAAGGGTCGGCTTTGAATAGCTTGGCCATCTCCTCATCCGACGTGACGTAGAAAGTGTTCGTGGAGTAGTACGCCTCGGTGAGTTCTTGCGCAACCTGCATTCCGAAGTAGGCCGGATCCATGGCCCAGGATTTGGGCTGCACATGTAGTTTTTCGTCTGCATTCGACCATTTGTCCGAGTCGTATTTTCCGATGCGTACTTTGCTGCCATATACATGGCGCTTGTCCGTCAGCTCACAAGGTTGGGCTTTTGGCCCGACAATATACGCATATACCAGGTTGCGGAGCTCCAGCGGCAATGAAGTGTGGATGCTGTTGGCCAGTGCGCGACATGATTTCCTTGCGGCGATTGCTGCCTCCACTGCTCTTCCGCGTCGTAAAGGAGAGGCGATGCATCTGCACGTTTAACACGATTAGCAGAGGGAGCGATCGAGGTGAAGGTTATGGACCGTACTTCGACCTCCAAATGAACTCGTCGTTGAATTTACACTGGGCATCGAACCCCTCTTTTTCAACGGAGCCGTCAGGCAAGACGCGCTCGGATGGCCATTCGGATGATGCCATGGCTGGTAGAAGTAAGGGAAGTTCGTTGAAGGGTCGCGCAGGAAGATGACAGCAGCTGAAGGTTATGTACGTCCGCGGCACGCGGTTCCGCTCTTACTGTACCCATAGATGACAGGGATCCCACTAGCTCATTCGAAACCTAATCTCCATAGCAAAGAATATGCATAAACGCTTGCGCCTGCAGCGCGTTGCATTGGTCCATCACTCGAAACAAGTGGCAAAGTTATTTGAAACGTGATAAGAAGTTCGATTAAAATAGTTCCGCTCAACCCCAGCACCCCATCTAACAAGATCATGCACAACATACGCTCATACATGCAACATGTTCCCACTCAACACATATACACCCTAAATCTTCTTGTCATTAAACCTTCGAAACACCAACAGCAACAGATTCGGTTCTCACAGCAGCATCAACTTTCTCTTCATAGCGATCAAAAGCAGCAGTCCCTTGGATATGGCTGTCCTCAAACACATCGACAGTCGTGCTTGCAAACTTGCGCGCGCTGACGCGCTTCTCGAAGAGAAGATCAAGTTCAGCAAAGGAGCGGCCCTTGGGTTCGGGAAGGCGGAAGTAGGTGTAGATGATACTTAGGAAGCAGGAGCCGGCCCAGAAGAATCCGGCGTAGTTGCCCCTGTGATGTGGTTAGTAGAGAAAAGAGGGAGAGGAAGGGAGAGTGGGAGGGACGTACCAGTTCCAGGCTCCGGGGTTGAGCATGTAGGGTGTGAGGACGGAGGTGATGATGCCGATCACGTTGTAGAGGTTGCGGCCGAGTACCACGGTCTTGATCGCGAGGCGGCGGGTGGAGAGCTCAGCAACGAGAGAGTAGCATACGGTGCCGACGGTCAGCTGGTAGAACATAGCCCATACGATCATCATAGCTCCGGTAGCCATGGCGCCCGTCTCGCGCTGGGAGGCTGGTACCAGGCCAAGGAAACCCATGACGAAGAGCATAACGCATAGTCCACAAAGACCACCTAGGTAGAGTGTTCGGCGTCCGAAACCGACCTTCATGAGGTACCAAGCGCCAAAGACACCGGCCATGTTAATACCGTACTGACCCATTGCGAAGTCATACGAAGTCGATGCGGGTAGACCAGCCTGTTGGAGGAAATAGGAAGAGTAACCCGAGAAAGCGTTTCCACTCAAGTTCTGCATCGCCCAGGCCATGCAGACAATCTCCGTACGACGCAAATCAGTACCCTTGAAGCAGTCCCAGTAGCTGGCTCCCTGGGTGATCTTCTCCTCGAGCGCGGTCGTGTGCACCATCATGGCCACCGTTTCGTCGGCATCGAAATCAGTTTCTCGGTCCAAGCTGGTGAGTCGAAGCAGGGATTTCTTCGCGTCTTCGATTCGCCCTTTGCGGACTAGCCACCATGGCGACTCGGGGGCTAGGAAGACACCGATGATGAGGGGGACGGGCCACATCCATTGGAGGGCGTAGGGGATGCGGTATGACCATTCGTCATCACGGTCGACCATGGAGCGGATGACGCCGATACCGATGACTTGACCAAGACCCCAGCAGAAGTTGACGTAGGTGGTCACTAATTAATGTGAGCTTGTGTATGTGAAAGTAGAGCTTGATAAACTTACAGTATCCGCGCAGAGCAACAGGGCAGACCTCGCAAGCGTATGTGATGGTAAGTGTCTGGAAGACACCCCAGGGGATACCACAGAGAATCTCCGCAATCAGCAAGTGCACCACCGTCTGAGCCGTGAAGAAGATGGTGGTGAACCCAATGATCAGAAGCAAGCACCCCATGACAGTGTAGCGGTATCCAATAGCCTCACTGATCCATCCATTGAGGAAAAGACCGATGATCTCGCCAACGATAACTCCATTTGACAGACCTGCCTGCCACGGCGCTGGAATTTCCCAAGACCCGTCCGGAAGCTGCTCGCCGTACTTTTGCTTGAATTGCGGGAATCCGAAGAAGTTGTTCAGCAGGCAGACATCGTAGCCTTCCATGACGATACACGTGCTGATAAGGACAGACCATCCAATCGCCTTGGGATAGAGTTTGATACCCTGCATCAGCGTCATCTTGCGTTCGTTGTCCGTGGCAAGCCGCGCATCGTCAACAAGCTTGTTAGCAGCGCGCTTGTGATCGGACTCATCATTCTCTCCATAATGCTCGAACGGGGGCGCGGTAGTAGGCTGAATCTCCTTCTCTTCCGCCATGACTGCTCTCTTCCGTGAACTCTCCTTGCAAACCAGAGAAATTCGGGCCGATGTCGATCCGGCCAGGGCTGGGCTGCTTTGGGAACGATAGTGGGGTGCTGCAACGCTGCTCCACACACTCTCGAACCAGGACAAAAGTAAAGAGAAATCCGGGGAAACTGCTACCGTGACATTGGGTGGTAGGACATGAGGCGGTCTTTAAGCATAAAATTTTGCGGGGTCTAGCATGGCTTTTGGGTAAGCGTGGTTGTAGCGGCGAACCATGCAAGCCAGGGTCTGGGTCGCGTGCAGACAGGTGGAGCTTTCATCTCCTGCGGCCGTGCGCGGACGTGATTGGGTCGTCCCATATGCGACCTTCTTGCTACGGGTTAGGAAGACAGAGACGGATGCTGGTGGCTCGGGTAATTCTTCGTTCACATGGTCTCGTGGCACGCCTGGTGCATGCCCAGCTGGCCTGTCCTTGGCCAGAGCGTGGGTGTTCACGATCGGAGCGGTGGCCGACAAGCTGACCGTTGAGCTGGAGTACTGGCGCATGCTATGTGCATAGCTAGGTCAGCCACACCGAAAATCGGCAATAGCGACCGCGCCGTAGTGAATTGCTGATAGCTGTGATGTCGGAGGTTGTTGCCAGTGTACGCAAGGAATCGTACAAGTAAGCCCAAGAAGGAGTTTGCCGAGGTAGCGCCTTCGGCTTTCACCCGTACCTGGCGGTGTAGTGTCAAACGGCATGTTGAACATTCTAGAAGCTGTGGAATGTATTGCATCTGCATCAAGATGGTATTGATCTAACAATGTTCCTTGTTTGTGTCTTTAAGCCCGTGCAAGCTACATCAAGTAGTCCTGTGTCCATTCGCGGGCTCCTCAATAGTGTCATCCTCCTCTACACCAGTAATTGCTTCCGGTTCTTCACTTCGCGGCTGTACCCGTCCGCCAAAGAATGCGAGAAGCAATAAATCATACGCCGCTTTCAAGCTACCAGCTGCAACAAAAGCGACCCAGAAATGATCGTTCCCAGCAAGTACACCAGTAAGACTTGGTCCACTGCTCTGGGATAGTGTCTTGAGTATATTGACTACGCCCATAACGGCGGTTCGCTCTTCTGGTAAGACCACAATCGAGAGAAAGGCTGATCGAGGGGCCTGATCCATAGAGTTGAGCACAGAGCGACCAACGAGCAGGCAGATGGTTAAAGCTAGTCCCGACGGTACAGGCAGTAGCGCGAGAAATATAGAAGAAGGCAGATGAGTGAAGACCATTGCTTGGATTAAGCCGAGACGTTTGGCTAGACTCGAGGCGAAGACATTTCCAAGTGTCGACACAAACCTGTATGTTCGTAAGCGTGTGGTTTAAGGCATACTTCGATCAGGTTGTGACTTACCATGTTGCAGACATGATGCCACCTAGCTTCCCTTTTGGTAGATCAAATTTACGTTCCATGTAGTAGTTGATCAAGCTAAAGGGGACCATCCCCGAGCCCAAAGAATCGAGGAAGAACAAGCTGCAGAGTTTAATAAGAACAATGCGACTCGACTTGGAGATCTTGCTTAGGGAATGCCAAAACTTCTTAGGCTTTTTGGGGGCTGCGTCTCGAGTTGCAGTATCTCGACTCTCTGTTTCGTCATTGTTCAGCAACGGCTCGGTCTCAACTGATACAGCAGACTTGTTCCGTTCATCGTTCCAGTCGCTGTGCTCGCATCTCTGGCTCAGGAACAGAGTCATCAGCGCCTTGACACACCCGACCCCAGTGTAAATCCAGAAGATGGCGCGATACGCATCCAGATCCGTCCAACCCTCGATAGCCTGCAGGTTGTCGACCGCAACACCACCAACTGCCAACCCCGTTGACGTGCCCAGTACAGCCAAGACGACATACCAAGTGTACACGTCCGACCTCTTGTCCTCGGCTACCAGGTGCGCTAACGTCGACTCCTCCACAGCTCTGAACGGCCCGATCTCGTTCCCACTAGGACTGATGACACCGACGATGGCTGCTAGAAGCAAAGCCACGTAGTTGCTTGTTGTTGCGAAAACAGCGCCGGATATTGCCATGGACACGGCTCCAAGGAGTAATGTCCGGCGCCGGCCTAGCGTATCCGCGACAAGTGTGAGGAGGAGGCTGATGACTACATCTCCGAGCAGCGTCAACGACATGAAGAGTCCGATTTGTTCATCTGAGAATCCTTGCTCTTGGAAAAAGAGTGCGAGGATAAGTGCCACGCTCCCGTATGCAAACAGACGGATGTACCGTGCCAGAATGAGGATGTAGACGTCTTTTCCAGCATGCTTCATTGTCGCGAGTCCCAGTTCGCGGCCGAGCCATTGTGCCGCTTTGACAGGCGCATCACGAACAGACATGCTCCGAGGTTCGGGAT